TATAATAACATACATATATGTACACAGATCGTTACATTTATGACATCGTTCGTTTAACTAAGTAGATTTTTTTCCTTCATGCCTGTCAATTTTCCAGTAAAAACCGATGACGATATTGATGATTTAAATGCTCCTTATAATGAACTTGAAGCATTTAATTCAATAGTAGATGCATTACAATGGAGACATATACGAAAACGAGTACCTATATGCTTTAAAAGAACATTACATAATCGATATATGATAGCTAATTTAGTTTATTTGGGATATACAATAACACTTTTGATTCTTGATTTTCATCCTGATTTCAATCCAACATCTTCAGATATTTCAATCACTGTAAATGCAACATCTGATGAAACAACTGAAGTAATATCCATCCTTGATCAACCAGTGATAATGAATAACTATGTTAATCGAATCTATATTGGTAAATCGTTATTTTTTTTAATGCTTAATCAAATAAAATAGTCGTTTGTTTTTCAAGGTCTAGCTATATGGAATATTTTAGTAGCTTTTCTCTATATTATTGCATGGCGTGGTCGATCATGGTTTGATGTTGTTCTGATACCAGAATATTTAAATCATGTTCAAGCTGGTCTTTATCTTTGGTCAGCATTATGGTATTCGAAACAGGATACTCTTGGTGGTTATTATACAATGGCCGTACATCGTATCGAACTAAGTGCATCATGTGTTGAAGTGTGTGCTGCAGTTGGATGGTATATAATATAATATATGTACGTAAAGAAAACTTTCATTATTTTTATAGGATGGTCTCATGGTATATGACATATACACGTGCGTTAGGACGAGGTTTTACTCTTGATGATCCTGATACAATGGGTTATTTAACAACAACATCTAATACACTTATATATCTTGTGTATAATATTCAAATAAATATTCATCCTGAACAGTATGGAATTAATCAAATTTTCACTTATGGAGATATTCTTGGTTTTATTGGATCTGTTTATTATATATTTGGTACTTTACGTGATGAAAATTGGTTTTGGTTTTTACCTGTTGCTGGACAATATGGTATTGCAGCAGGTAGAATTCATACAGTAACGAGAATTTTACCAAAATTCGGACATCCTGATATTCTTATTACTGATATGTGCAGACGTCAAAAAGTTAGAATAGAAGATGATAAACATTATAATAATAATAATATAAATATAGATATAATAACATCATATTTTTAATAAATATTTTATATATTGATTTGAAATAGAGAAGCTCTTTCATGATTACTGATAATGACTCATTAATTACAAAATAATACTAAATATTTATCAAATATATCAAAAATTTAGACAACTATTGAGTGATATTTAAAAGCTATTAGAATATGAGAAAATTACGAAAAATGAATGAAAGTGAAACAAAATCCTTATTTTAATTATATTATATTGACTAGTGTTGTTCCTTGGTATTTTGATATTGGTTAGTATTCTGATCAGAAAACAGGAGTATATTAATGGTACATAATGAATTATGTCTGTACGCTAAAAAGCAGTATTTTTGCCTATAAATTCATCAAAAATAGTGAAACAATTAATTGTTCAATACAGTAACAAAAATCTTATTAATATTAAAATGATTAAGGAGAAAACAAATCATGTCCATAAAAATGATGAGACAGCAGTTTTACATTTAGATACTTTTTATTTTATTATTCAATTCATAAAAATAAGTATCTAACTCAAATTTTTGTGTTGGTTTACGACAGATGTATTGATGTCTTCATATCTCTGTTTTTCATATATACCATGATATTATAAAATTCAGAAGTGCATGATGTGATGACATTTAATAGAGCAAGATACTGACAAGAGTAACCACCTGACTGTCTCGATTCTTTATTAGATATTATAACGGCAAGACATTCTAAATTTTTTTTATGTTCTTGCAAATTTTATAAACCATTATAAATTCAATAGAATATTATAAAAAATATTGCAATGTGATGAAAACGTACTAGTGAACTCTGATTATACATCAGTATTTCAAAGTTATCAATATTAAGATGAATAGGGGTGGGGACAACTTTCGCATCATAAAGTTTAGGATGAAGTTGAAATAGATAATCCCGTTATCATATGATATAAATGACATAAGACAAGAGTAAAGGTTAAAATTATCAATACGATTGCGATCAAGAACCAGCTGTTGAATGAAAGTCATGATTAACGTCAATAGTCAAAATGACATCTTCAATTCAATTATCGTATTCAAGAGCGTGCTGACACCTTTTTGATCGTCTCTTTTGTCATAAATATTATTTGATTTTATAAAATAGTTTTATAAAAAAAAGAATATGTAGAATCTTTTTTTTTCATTTTCTTTAGTTAACGTGACGGTTAACGTGCATTTTTTCGTTTAGTTTTTCTTCCTGTCTTTTACTTGCTCCCACTTACATTTTTCAAAATATCTTTATGCTTGTTTTTGTCTATATACGTATTTACTATGTCGATATTCATCAGTTGAGTGGATTTACTGTGAATATGCCGAAAGTAATTTGGATCTATCTCGATCGTTCTAACCTACACCAATACTGTTCGGGTATGTTGTAGCAAGAGATACGTTGTACTTCTACATCATCAGAGTATACTTAACCTGTGTTATTATCATATGTGACATTTTAATTCTCGACGTTTTTTCTTTCGGTTTCTTTAAAGCACATTGTTAAATCAATGTTTAGTGCTGTAAGAAAACCAACAACAGTAAAACTATCTACCTGTATATTGTTGCTTCAAACTTTAATATGATATTTTCTTTTGTCTTATCATACAAGTATACCGAACTATTATATTCAAGTGTATATAATAAAACATAAATTTACATAGATGCTTATCTATATATATGTCAGATGTCTTTTATTGACAAATATTAAACATTTTTGATGTATCATAAATATTTATAGTGAGTGTGAGGTATAGAGGTGATATATAAGTTTATTAAATCCTACGAATTATGTCTAATAATACAATGGCTACTGTTAGTCCTCAAGAGAAAATTGGTGAAGAAACCACAGACGTGATCACTCCTTACGTTGAATATGAAGCATTTAATTCAATAGTAGATGCATTACAATGGAAACATATACGAAAACGAGCACCTGTATGTTTCAAAAAATCGTTACATAATCGATATATGTTAGCTAATTTAATTTATTTGGGATATACAATTGGACTTTTAATTATTGACTTTAATCCAGCTTTTACTGGATCATCATCGTTAGAGACTTTAACAAC